GATGTGGATCAGTGGCCGAGTGCCCCTGAGTTCAATCCCTGGTACCAAAAAAAAAAAAAAAAAGTCATCACATATTTGGGGAGCCAGTTGCCATGTTGTAAGAACACTCAAGCAGCCCTAGAAAGAGGACCACATGGAGAGGACATGTTTTTTCTGCCAGCGTCCATCACTGATTGCCAGCTATATGAGTGAGCCCTCCTCAAAAGTACATCATCTAGTTCCTGTGAAGCTTTCAGATGACTACTGGCCTGAGCAACATTTTGACTGCAGTCTCATGGAAGAACCAATCAGCTAAGCTTTTCCTGATGAACAGAAACTGTTGCTATTATAAACATTTAGTTCTTTGTTGTCAATGCTACTAAGTTTTGAGATTTGATGTAGCAATGGACAGTTCATTGCATAGAATCCAGCAGGCTTTCTGAGATATTCCTGTCCAAGATGCATAGCCAAATCTAGTACTAATGAAACACAAAACAAACACAGATTGAGGGGCATTTTGCAAAATAACTACCCTGTAGTCTTTGATAATCAGAGTTGAAGTCATATAAGTTAAAGACAGGCTGAAACACTGTCCTAGAGTGAAGGAGACTAGAGAAGCGACACATTTCCATGCAATGCCTGATTCTGAACTGGATCATTTTGTTTATAAAGGTTATTGCCTGGCAAAGTTTACAGACAGAAGATTAGATGATAATAAAGTATCATTGAGAAATTTTAAATTTTATGGTTGTGTAGAGTTATACAGTTAGATGTATTTGTTTCTGGGAAATCACACTGAAATTTCTGGGTATTAAAGCATCAAGACAGTAACATTCTTCTCTTAAATGGTTACAGAGAAAAATGGTTATTTATACTGTAATTGCAACGTTTCTGTAAGTTTGAGATTATTTAAAACTGTTTGAATTATGCAAAAAGAAAAATAATATATCATAGAATATGCTCTAACTATAAAATCAGACCCATATTGTCCTTTTTTAAAGGGATGCACAGTACTCTGGCTTTTGTAAGTTTAAAAAATATATATTTTTGTTACCAATCTCCTATTGATGGGCATTTAAATTGCTTCCAGTTCTTTGCTATTATAAACATTTAGTTCTTTGTTGTCAATGCTGCTAAATATCCTTATAAACATTTTGGTTCCCTGGTTCAGTTCTTGCCCAAGAGTAAATCCCCAGAAGTCAAAATAGCTGTGAATGGATATGCAYCCTTTAATCAATTTAATCATAAGCCATACTAGAAAACCACATAAAATCTGCTTAGAAGAAAATGAAATTTATAATTTGTTAGTTATTTTTTGTTTTTCCCCACTAGAAAATAATTTGTGTAGGAGTAAGAACTTTMTCTCTCTTGATTATCACCACCCCTAGCATTCAGGCACTCAATATGTATATATTACCACAATGATAACAGCAATCATTTATTAYATGCCTGATGCTGTTCTAAGGATATTAAATCAGCTATTCCTGGCAATTGTCTTTATGAGGTAGGTAGTATGATTCTTTCTGTTTTGCACAGCTTCAGGTACCTAGTTAATGGGAAAAAAAAAAACATGCATCAGGTACTTTTCCTTCAGTTTATAAGTAGCTATTATGCTATACTGGTTTACTTTTGCTAAGTAAATTAATCMATAAATGAGTTAATGACCAATATATTTATTTGAATCTTTAACCAATTTCAAATTTAACCTAACTTTTGTTTTTGATTTTTCCTTTTTAAATGAAAATTAGAGGGAACAGATTGCTCACTTTGYAAAAGCCAAATTGGTTTTACGCTTCCCTGGACTAACCTGTACTTAGTACCTTTTAATAATGCTGCACCAAGAATTAACATCCACATGGGTATCTATAAATCATTCTCCCCTGAAGAATTTACAGAGATGTAAACAATATTTGCTTTGTATTATCAGTAAAATAGTAAATCTGGGCCTGTAACTTGAATCTAGGAGGCAAGCCTCTTATTACTTGTTTTTCAAACACATACTCTTGCTCTCAACTTTGCCCCTGCTGTGTCCTGTACCTGGCATGCTCATTGTCCTCCTCCTGCAGTAGAAACTGTAAGGGTCCTCCAARGCCCTGCTCAATGGCCACTGATCTATTGAAGACTGCTTTTATCCTTTTCTTTTTTTCTTACTCTCTCTTGAAGTTTCTTTTCTTCCTTAAAATTCCTAGAGTCCTTTTTAAAGTACTCCTCTAGGAGAGTACTTTCTTTCTTTCTTTTTTAATTCTAATTTGTTATGTATGACAGCAGAATGCATTACAAATCATATTACACCTTTAGAGCACAAATATCTCTGGTTGTACACAAAGTAGAGTCAGACCATTCGTGTCTTCATATATCTACTTAGGGTAATGATTTCCATCTCAATCCACCATCTTTTTGTAGGAGAGTACTTTCTAAACATATCTCATATTAATTGTGCAATGTTCTCATCTCTTAGTGGACTATATTCCCTTTTAGTTTTATTGATCTTATAAAACCCCAGTATATATCACATTATTTTACATCAAATATGAAATTAAGTTTTTTGAATGAGTCAATGAGTGATCTCATGAGAACATATTTTAAAATCTTAAATGATAGATAAGATTTTTGAACATTATGCATTCTGCATCATCAGGAATTAAAACAARTGGAATAGACATATTTTCATATGATGGAGTTTTATTTTGTCTTTATAAGGCATCAAGAAATAAGAATGATAATTACCTTTCCTTTCTATAATAAAAGGTATTCTATTCATGGTGACAAATATCAACCTTGCTTCTATCCAGAACTTCAATTCCCTTTTCTTTAAGTGGATGGTTCAGGGACATCAAAGGTAGTAAATCAATCAAAGAGAGAAGAGGAGTCCCCCTTCCCCCAAAGGCTAGTACTGAAGGGTGTGCTTCTGTTAGAGAATTTTAATAATAAATTTGTTTTCAAGTGTTTGTATAATGCCAAATCTTCTTGCCAATTGGAGGAAGGACTGTTCTGAATGAAATTATAAAATATAATTCTTTTCTCACTTTTATATGTGTAAAAAAAAAAAACCAGAATTGGAGGATGTTAAGTATTGTCATTCAACAGGATTCTACTTTGTTTGGAGCAAAAGCAATAGCACAGCTGTTAGGCCCTTTGTTTCTCTTCCCCCTAGAGTTCTTTTCCTTTACCCACAGGATAAAGACAGAGCTGAGGGTTTGTGTTGTTGAAAGCTCAAATAGCAAGCCAAAGAGAAAGTTCAAACAAGTAATATCAGTCTTTTAAAAATGTCATTGCTTATGTAAATTAACTGGGGTCCTTGGTTTCTTGTGAGCCTCAAGCATCTTTGAATTGGTTGGATATTAAATTATGTTTTTTAATACTTTTAAGTAATTTATTTACTTTTATGTCATGCTGAGGATCAAATACGTGCTAGGCAAGCACTTTATCACTGAGCCACCTCCCCAGCCCCATAAATTATGTTTTATTTGTATTTGGTGTATGTTATGTTTCTTCTATGTGGAAACTACTGACCATAAGATAAATTTAAGGTTAGTTAGTGCTTTTTGGTTCGTGTTCTCTCTCTCTCTCTCTCT